CTGTAAAGCTGATAAAATACGTTTCAAGTATGTATTAATCTAGTACTGAGTTAAACATTCATTACTTAAATTATTAAGATTATTAATTAAAATTATCATCTATATTTTATCTCAGTATAGACATAAATAGTAGAGTTACAACCACTGGTAAGTGTTAGTTCATTTGCTGATTTATAAGCATAAAGTTCTCCAGGGACTGTTGCTAATTCCCTATGTTATAATTTGCATTTGTATTACAGTTAGCTTGGGGAAAAAAAATAGGAAGAAAATATTTTTAAAGGTAATTTTTGTCAAGATACAGAATAATCTGTATTCCATATGTGTTTTTTTCTATGTACAAGGTACTATTTTCACTGCTCTGACTGTGAAAATACATGCATAAACTACAATAAAAATATGTATTATAAACTTTCTCACTTGTGATTAACAGCTCTGTGAAAATCTACCAACGTCCTATGCTAAGAGCATAGTTTGTTTTCTCCAGGGGTGTAAATCTGCACAGTTCTATTAAATTTAACAGAATTCCTTTGGTCTTCATTATTTTTGGAGGCTGGCCAAATGCTGGTGTAGATAACCTGATTAGCATAGACGTTCCTACCTGTAAAATCTTTCACTTTTTGAAGATACGGATAGCTTGAGGTTAGAATAAAATTAACAAAGCTTCACATAATTATACCTATCTGCTACAGTTAATTTGTGTATTGTGTCATCTTAATCAAATGAGTGCATCAAATGAGGTTGATTATGGTGCAGAAAGTGCACAGAGCAGTGCTCTCCAAAGTGCAGAAAGAACTACTGAAAAACTTGTGACATTTTGTTTAATAGTGTCCAGTGTTCTTTCTTATTATAGACTGTTTTCCAGTTTGGAAAACAGTGTTTATTTAAGGAAAATAAACTACGAGAGGTGTTCTTTTTTTCCCCCAATTTATAAATATATTTGTATGCTATTATTATTTCAGGATTGGCGAATCTTAATAATCTTCTCTTGGTGTGCTGGGATAAGGAGATGATAAGGGGCTGCATGCAACTCTTGCCACAGTTTTGTTAGTAGTCACTAGCTTGTTTTTAGGACTCTTCAGACTAAAAGGAGCTGGGGGAAATCCAAGCACTGTTTGCCAAAACACATTTTAAAAGCAATTTTACTGTTCTTGTTCACAGCTGCAGAGAGGACGTCATGCATTTTGCTGAGGCCACCTTGATGGCCTTTATTTTACCAGGGCTCGTTTACTTATTCTCTTGATTTCTAATTCAAGAGGGCACTTCAGCTTGTGCTTGACTTTTACTTTATTGAACATAAATAGATGTCAGTTTAAATGCCTGTATGAGCTGACAGTAATAAGGATCATGAAGCAGTGTTTAGCTGTGCAGTGTTTTTAAGATGAAATATTGCAAATCAAATGGAATAGGTGATCAGAGACTTAGGTATGTGAAATGGGCATAATATTTCTCAAGGTTTTTGACGCTGATCCTTATAGAGAGATTGGTGAAGCATGGACTAAATGAATAGATGGGGAGGTAGGCTGAAAACAAGTCGTGCTCCTGGCACCCTGGGGAATAAACCCAGGTACATGATAGGAGCTGACAACTGGAAAGCAGCTCAGGAGAGAAGAACCTGGGGGTGGTGGTGGACACCAAGTTGAACGTGAGCCAACAATGTGCCCTTGCACCAAACAAGGCCTGGCTGTGTTAGGCAGAGCATTGCCAGCAGGACAAGAAAGTTGATCCTTGCTCTCTGCTCAGCACTGCTGAGGCACACCTGGAGTGTCCACTTCTGGGCTCCCCAGTACAAGAGAGACATGGACATAGGGGAGCACAAACATGAAGATGATCAAGGGACTGCAGCATCTCTCCTATGAGGAGAGGCTGAAAGAGCTGGGGCTCCCTGACTGGGCGTAAAGAAAGCAGAGACAGACTCGGTGTACAGAGACAGGATGAGACAGTGGGCACAAACTGAAATACAGGAGGTTCCATCTGGACATACGAAGACTTTTAATGTGAGGGAGGTTGAACACTGACACATGTAGCCCAGAAGGGCTGAGGGCTGTGGAGGCTCCTTCCTTGGAGATAATCAACACACAACTGAACATTGCCCTGGATAACTGTCTCTCACTGACCATGCTTGAGCAGGGGGGTTGAACTAGACGGTCTCCAGAGGTGCTTTCTAGTCTCAGCTATTCCATGATTCTGTGCTTCCATGAAGAAAATTAAATATATAGGACAATGTTTTCCTTGCACTTCATTTCACATTCTCAATGGCCTGTCAATGACACATGAAAGTTAACTTGATCTTATCATTCAACTTCTGAAAAGCTGTCTGAATATTTTTCTTAATCTTCTTTAACAGCCTGGAAAAAGCTACAGTTGGGAGACTTACTGTGTTTATGGAGATGAGAGACATAAAATAAGTGTTCTGTGCATAAAATTGTAGATAAAAATTTAAAAGTTCAAATTACAAAAGTTCAAATTGTAGCAGTCTTAAGCTGTATGGGGCCTCTGCAGGTCATGAGGCCCAACCTTCTGGTGCAAGGGTCTTCGGTTAGGTTATCCAGGGATCTGTGAAGCTGAAATAGCAAGAGAAATTCTTCCTTTTCCCTGGAATAGCTATTCTAATGCTTACTTGTTCTCACAGTGAAGAATATTTTAATTATATACAGAATGAGTTTCCCCGAAACAGTTTTGTCCCTTGTCCTGCCATCACACATGGTGATGAAGAGAGCATCTCCATCTTTATAGCTTTATTTTAGGTGTTGGAAGGCAGTGATCACTCTGAGTATTGCTCTGAGCCTTCATTTTTGGGGCTAGACACATATGTTCTTGGACCTCTCTGTGTATGTCAGGTTCTCCAACCTAATCATCGTGGTGGCCCTTTGCTGGACCATCTCCAGTTTTTCTTTCTCTTGGACATGGGGAATTTCACACTGTGTTGCCTTGGTGATAGGTGTTTCCTCGTGTAAGATTTAGTAGCACAATAAGATTTTTCCAGAACTCTCCGAGGAACTCTCATAACCAGTTATAAATATCAAAATAGGCTTCCTAGAGGCTAAAGAGAAATAAATCTCTCTTTTTTTATTGGATAATTTTTCAAAGTAGTGCAGAAAAGAGTTAGTCCCAAGGGTAGTGTAAAGGATAATAGGTTTGAACCTATTTCGACTTGAGTCAAGGGGTATCCTGCCATTAACTGTAATGGCAGGAGGGAATGACAGGCAGCTTTATAGAAGATGTGCTGACCTGGGATTTTTCATGGTCGGACTAAGAAAATCACTTAGTCTCCTGTGAAACGCAGGGAACCATAGGACAACCCAGACTGAAAAATAAACTCTGCTAAAGGCTGTTACAGAGATCCCCAGGAGAACAGATGTTTTTGCAGCTAGAATACTTCTTTCTAGCAGAGAGGCAGCATATCTACTTTCATGTTGAGAATTGCTCCATATATTTTTGTTCTGGAGGACAGTGTAACCAGCCACAAAGAACATAGGCCTGGTTATATGGAGTTTTCCTGAATCCCTCCCTTAATGCCTTATTTTTGAAGGCTAAGACTGGCTGAAATAAGTATCTGTACCAACATTTTGTAGGAAAATTTGAAACATAACAAGGAATTACATGAGTCTGTGTAGTGATCAGTACTCCTAACATGAATGCTCTTCTCCTTCATAAAAATGAAGTGACTGGCTGGGACATTGTAATCCTTCTAGGTTTGCCAAGATGTAGTGAATACTAAATTTTTATCTGCTTCTTTACGACTAAATAAGGAGGGATAGGAATGGATCCTCAGCCCTGAGGCCAGTGGTTTCACACTCCACAAGAGATTATCTTGAGAAAGCTCGTGGGAATGGTCCAGACCAGAGCCAAGAAATGTTCTCTCAAGCATGGTGGATGATTGAGGCTTCGGTTCACTCCTGGAGCCTCCATTGTTTAAAATGTAGTTGTGTTCCTAGAATCTCAGCCCTCTCTTCAGCATTCATATTTGTCTGTAGGAGGAGAAGAACAGAAGCAGAAATGGCATTGATTGGGTGTTGGATTCGTGATGGACTTTAGATCAATCATTAAAAGGTTGGTTCTAAGAAAGGCGTCAAAATGCAGTAGTAATATTTTTTGACAAAGGGAAACCAATTCGTGTTGGTTTATAGAAGGAAAGTGAAGAATCTTTGTTCAAGGAGTAGCTGCTTGTCCTGTTTGTGTGTGAAACCATTCAGTGTACCTGCAAAAGCTGTCTAGCCAGTGAGGTAGAAGTCTCCCGGGGTCTAATAAGGAATGAAGCTGAGAAGGCTCTTCAGACCTTTGACATGGCTTGACTGGAGGGTTTTAGGTATCATGGTGTGGATAAGGCTGTAAATAACAGGTCATTTATTGATAGTCACAACTAAGTAGCATCAAGGTGAGGGCATAGGTGCAGAGTGAGAGAATAGTGGCAGCAAAGCAGTTTCATGGTATGCCATGCAATATGGTGTTTTGCCTTTTTGAACTCTAAGCTCCTGGGAAGGGCAGCAAAATCTTGGTATTAATTTAGAAGAAAACAGCAGTTGTGAGAATGATCACATAACTTGGAATTATGAGCCCTGACACTCAAGAAGCAGAAGTGTCTTAAAGGAAATATGTTTCTTTCAATGGTTTATGGATGATGGGGCAGTTCCTGATTTTTGAATGAATTTTGAATGAAGGGTTGGTAGGAGGGGGAAGTACTTCTGTACTGCTGCATCCTCCGTTGAAACCGTTGTTGAGTAATGCTTGGTGAAGTGGTCGTTCCAAATCACATCCCCGGACGAATCCATCCCAAACTCCCTTGACCAGAAGAAAGGGTTAAAAGCAAGTAGAAAGTAGCCATGCTTGGCTTCATGAACAGAACTAATGCTTGACTTGCTTTCTAAAGGGTATAGCTGCTGGTATGGCTCCTCAGGATTGACCTGTTTACACCAGGTTCTGTCTTAACAACTGTATTTTGAATGCATTTTGTTACTTTCTTGTTACTCAGAAGTGGTCCTTAATATATTTAATATTTTTAGTGCCCTACAGATACCAAAGCAACGTTTGGGGTCCACCTTAAGGTAGTGGGAGACTGGACAGGTATGTAGAAAAACAATTCCTTTTCAGAGACAAGTATCTTTACTTGAACTTTCTGGCTTCAGCACAATTTTACCTTGATTGCAACATACTCTCACTAGAGATCATTTATGCTTGTTTTCTCAAAGTTGTACTTATTACATTCTTGATGCAACCCCTGCTTTATTTAGTTGTGCATTTCTTGAGATAGCATGTTTCTCCAACTACTAACAGATGTTCTGATCACAACTAAATACTTTGCGGTGTTCCTTGGTTTCTGCCTCTTTCTTATTTCTTGATAGCCTGCTGCTGCTGTACAATGCCTCTGTGCACAGTAGAGACTGCAGAAATGCTGAAATGTGCAGCCCTCAGATAAGAGGATTTTAATGCCAGCAGTTTGGATGGCTGCCAGGTTAATTAACGCCCACGGTACAGTGAGATTATAGGTTGCTTTCATGTTCTTCCATGTTCTTCCATTGGTCTCTGAATGTCCTCCAGACCAGGGGTGTAAACCAGGATTCCCTGCAGAGCAAAATGGTAATTTCCTGCTCCCTGTCACAGTTCTATGCTCAAGTGATAGTTGTCATCATTGCTTGGCAGCTGACTTTCTTCTTGCTTAGCATAGCATTTCCTTGTAAGGAAAATAAATACACAACACCATCTTGTTCGTTTCTTAGGAAGAAATGTTTTCTGTGTTAATTTGTGTCAGCTCATGTTTTTGTGGAACAGAGTCAAACTAGTTTGTCACGCTAAAAGGACTTAGAGCAATTCAAGGAGAGTAAGTCCATGAACGTCCAAGTTCAACTTGCTAGTTCAAGTCCTTACTTGGTTGTGGAAGTCTCTGAAACTTTAATAGGCAAGGGTTGAGAGGGTAATGTCATGTGCAAGTATAATCCATAATTACCCTGATTTTCTGTTCTTCCGTAAAATGTAGGATGTTGGCAAGAAAGAGGCAGGATATGGGCCTGATTATCCCTGGTTCTGCCCCAATATGCTGTTATTACACACCATTCCTACCTGGGAGAGGACAGTAGGCTACTGGAACAAGTAGGGTGGAGAAGTGCTAAATGGGTTTTCCAAATAAAATGGCATCTTTGAAAGTTTTTTGCCTCTGTGGTGTAAATTGTTCTTTAATAGTATTTAAAGATATTTCTTCCGACTCAGTATCTACATTCTCCATTATGAAGCAGGTCTGCCTTAGGTAGGATTGTGTAAGATTTAGGACACTGTTATGTTACAGGGACCATTTGTTGTAGTTTGGCTACACAAGGACATCTCTTCCTGGGTCAAACATACTGTTGGAAATCAGGCTGTTTACCCAGCCATTTACCCTGAATCTGTACCATGGAGCCCTCTTCTCACTCATTCCCTTAAGCCCTGTGACAGTTAATGGTCTCTAATCCTCTGGCTGTTTGAGGAGGATACTGAGGAAGGATTATTATATTTGCCACATTCCTTATAATCTTTCTTAAGCATGCTCTAATGGCCTCTCCTGGAGACACGATATTGGTCTGGGGGAGTTTTTATGCAGCATGCTGTCATTTAAGCTCTTCTCACAACCTATTCTCTCAACCTTTATCCTATTTATTCAGATTCTCTTTTGTATCACATTTTCACATTCCTGACAGTTTATGCCTGACACCAAAGAGAGTTAGCAATTTATTTCAGAGAACTCAATTACAAGCCTAAATTAAAGGGATGCAAGAAGAGTGCAGATATGCTGTGAAACGCAGAGGACTGGTTCACTTGAGATGTTGCTCCTCTCACTGGCTTTAGCTTCTGCTGCCTGCACCTCGGAGATGTCGAGGAGGAACAATTTCCTTCCATTAGCCATAAGGACCTGAGCTGAGGATACAAACTGCTGGCAAACCAATTCTGCGAGTTATGTTTCAGGTCAAGTGTCTGACACTGAATCTCATGTTTTGAAAATTGAATAGAATACCTTGTGGCCTTAGTGACTTTGTTTTATAGGTTGGGAAAGCAACTGCACGTCTAGAAGAAAGATAAGAGGTAATCGAATTGTCAACTACTGATGAGAAGTTGCTGTTAAGGGAAAATCATTTATTGTCCATATCCCAATGCATAGAATTGTAGATATCCAATAGCTTGCAAGAAGTGGCTTCTGAAAGAAAGCAGCCACTTTAGAATTTATTTTTTTTTCCACAGGAACAGATACTTAGTAGATTTTCAGATAGTGTAACTATTTGCTTTTGAAAGCAATAATTTGAATATCACAAAATGTGGGACAGAAGTAGGGAAGAGAGGAAGAAACCTCAGAAATTATAGCTCTGAGGCTTTTGCAAAACTAAGAGTAATCCAGATCCTTAAGTGATGTATTTCTTGCTTTGTCAAAATAAAATGGTGCTCTCTGAGTTTAGAAGAGCTGAGAACCTGCCCTTATTAAGAGCAATTTCAATAAAGGCACAACATTTCTATATAGGCAGCAGCATTCTTGAGATAAATTTGCAATACAGATCTGAGCTGTTTCATTTCTCATCTGTGTTATGGTGGTATTAGTAACTGTATTGTGCTTAGCTTTCATGTTCATTACAGAAAACAGAGACACACAGGCACTAGTATTCCTGTAATGTGCATTTAGATGCCTGTGTAGGTACTTTCACCTGAACTACTTCCCTTTGTAGACTTCTGACCTATTGCTGTGTCTTTTTTAGGATGAGACAGGCCAGGCCCCAGGCATGCCTTTTTCTCTTCTTTGATTGTAAAAAGAGCCTAGATATGCATCTCTACTTTAGAGATAATTAGTTAATTAATGCTTAGGTGTGATTTTTTCCCACCTAAAGGTTCCTGACATGATTTTTTCCAATTTTCACCATGTGCAATGGGTATTGAGCATAGTGGTACAGCTCCTACAAACCCACTAAAGAATGTTTCATAATAATGTAATTATTACTATTACAGATACATGATTAATTAAGTCAGAGCCTGTTGTATTAACAAAACATATTATGGCATTGTGGTGGCTCACACTAGTAACACAATTATCTGGTACTGCAGAGGTAAAACCTGCGGCTGTGGACTGCTCAGGTAGCCTGTTAGGACTTAGGCACTCAATTTACAGTGCGTTTCCAGTGGCTGATCTCCAGTAATTGCAAACCTGAAGCCGTGCAGCTTGGGCTAGCTCTTCCTCTGAGCTACGCCAGTGTGTCTTACTGTGCAGCTGCCTGGCAGTTTCTGCTGGTGAGCTGGCAGATGGGAGCCTAAACCCCAAAGGATCACTGAGAGCCCTGCAAGGGCTTGTGTGTGTGGATCAAACCAGTGAGATCCAGAGATGAGATAAACATCTGATTTTGCTATTAACTTCCCCTTAAACACCTTTTATTTTCTGCTTCTCTCATGTCTCTGTTGTCTCCTTTAGCTTTGAAAAATGAGCTGGCTTGATATTTACAGAAGGATTTCTTAAAAGTTGTTTTTTCCCTGCTTACTGTCTTGTTTGTACTCGGTGTTGTCACCTATCAGGCTTGTGCTTCCTCCATCCTTGCTGCTGCCTCAAGTACCAGTGCTTGTTTAGTCTGAAATTGACATTCCATCTGGCATCTCCAGAGGGAAAAAGAGAAACCGTGGACCGTGCCCGATGTGTCCAGCCGCTCAGCAGCAGTGGAAAAAACACAGCGGTGTATCAAGACAATGTGTCTCATTCACTAGACAAACTTCAGGGTGCTAGACAGAAAGTAATATTGATGATGTTGAAACAACAGACTTCTGAAGCCATGCAGCATGTTTTTGTGGAAAACAAGTAGACAGCACTCAGAGGTGTTGAGGTGAACTGTGTGCTTTAAGGCCATAAAACACCGCTGTTATGCTGCAGGGTGTTGCTGGTACAAATTGATGGGGGATTGTGTTTAAAACACTGCTGCTGCTCTGTGCTCTACAGTATTTTTTATCTTGTAGTGACATCAGCCTGCTCTTCAGTTGTGTGTGGTCCTAGAAGTGTTTGCAAGGCCTGTCCACCACTCTGCGCCGCATGGTATTTTTTATGAGGGTATCATAATTACACGTTAATGGCACACATTAAATCTGAGACTTTTGTCCCATAGGTATATATGCCATATTGTGGCAGCCAGAGGTGCTGAAGTAGAACCAGAACAGGTATATTTTAGCATACCAAAGCATTTATGTAGAAAACTCTTGGTTTCATCAGAAAATACATCTTTGCTTGGCTCTTCCTGCTGGAGATGAGGATATATGTGGTCAGGAGGTCCTTGGGGTACTGACTGTCTTATTTTGAATGTGATGTGGTTTGATAGGAATTTTTGCCAGATATTGTCACAGTTCTTTTTCTGGAAGGTTCAGATTTGGAGCAGGAAGTTTCAGGAAAAAACATTTTTCGGTTAAAAAGAACAAAACTGTTTTTACAGAACATGGCAAATGTATGAAAACATGGCTCTTGTTTAACTCCCTGTGGACTAAAACCTGAGTACAGAACACAACCTTTTTGTTTTTAAACAGACATAATTTTTAATGCAGTTGTTTGACGTTCTGGAGATGGAGTAAGGATTTTTTGAATGTTCTCCAGAAGAAAAATAAACATGCCTTTTAAGTGTCCGAAGGAGGCATGACCTAAACTGCCTGGCCAGGGAGTCAAATCTTTGAGGACAATCTTCATGATCCTGTTAAGTTTTTGCCACTCCTAATATAGAGAAGATCTGAAGCTTCCCAAAACTCTGCATTGCTGCACTTAGCTGGGATTTATCAGCAGGTATAGGAACTAGCAAAGAAACAGTATTTTATTTTCAGTAACCCAGGGGATGGTTTTAGAGATATTGAAGTAGTGGATCATTCAGTCGGTATCAACTGTATTCTCAGTGGATCTTGATTCAGACTGGAGGAGTGTGAAGCAGAAGATGACAAGAAGGAGTAATATGACTACAAAGTATGCCCACAGGATGTGACAAGGCTGTCCCAGGATCACGATAATTACTACCAAGTTTCTCTAAAGCTATCTAGTCACTTATAGTGAGCTATTGCTCAACTCTTTTTCTATTACCTCAAGCTCTGTTTGATTT